TGGGGAACTGGCCACGGCACCCCTGGGCCAAACACCCCAGCTCTGAGCTTCCCCACTGGCTTGTTTCTGCTTCAGCTCCAGCCTCCTTGGGGTTTGGGTTTTCATCCAAAATATCTGTGCTGGAGCATCCTTGGCCTGGCCAAAGTGCTGGTGGTCAGTGGGGTGGGTGCCCCCCCCCCCCCCCCAAATCCTAGACCTGGGCTGCAAGGGGTGGGTAACTGGCCATGGCACCCCTGGGCCAAACACCCCAGCTCTGAGCTTCCCCACTGGCTTGTTTCTGCTTCAGCTCCAGCCTCCTTGGGGTTTGGGTTTTCATCCAAAATATCTGTGCTGGAGCATCCTTGGCCTGGCCAAAGTGCTGGTGGTCAGTGGGGTGGGTGCACACCCCCCCCCCCAAATCCTAGACCTGGGCTGCAGGGGGGGCTTTGCGTGCCTGGGACACCAAGTCCCCACGAGAACGGTTGCGTGGTGTGGTCTGTCTCACTGCTGGGCAGAGGATGTTGTAATGGGGTAGAGGTGGGAAAGCCGAAGGTGTTTGGGCATGGGCAGGGCACCGCTGCGTTATGCAATCTGGGGTGGAAAGGAATGGGGAGACCTGGGCTTTATTTCCGGCTCATCTGTGTGTTTTCTTGGCTGCTTTGGGTGAGCTGCTGCTCCTCCAGCTTGTGCAGCCTGGAGTGTGTAAGGATGCCTTAAAATCTACTGATAAAGCTCTGCAGATGTTCAGCAGTTCGGCTGGCTTAAGTGAGATAGGGCTTGTAGGGGAAATAATGGCTGTTATTAGACCATGGCTGTGACTGGGGGTGGGATCCAAGCGAGCTGCTTCTCAGCCACACACTTCAGGCCATGTCATTTTCTGCTTAGAACACTGAAAGTTGTGTTTGCTAAACAGTTTAGTGCAAAAAAAACCAAACACAAGCAGTGAGATTCCAGCTGCTCCTGTCCTGCTGGAGACACACGGAGCCTGGCAGGGGCACGGTGCAGAATGTGCCCGTTTTCCTAATGGCTCGTGGGGCTCTGCAGGGCTTAGTGCTTCAGTAACTTAAAACATATGGCGGGTCCCCCGCTGCCAGAACTTTATTGGGGCAGAGCAGGGATGTGCCTTGTGTAGCTTGGGGACCCAGCAGTGTTTTTTTTGGGGGGGTGGGTTTGCAGGCAGGCATGGATGCTGCTGGGCTTAAGGTGAGGCAGAGCCTTCCAGTGCGTCACAGCAAGCCCAGGTGACTCCACTGAAACCTCAGGGACTCTTTTCCATGGGTTTGGTGGGTTTTCATTGCTAGCTGAGCCTGTTGTGATGATCTGAGCCAGCTGTGTAAAAGTTAATGTTTGTCTTGAACGTGATTTCAAGACCCTTGAAGGAAGATCCACATCTTCTATCTGGCTGAGCAGAAGGGAGGGCTGTGTTCCTGGAAGGAGCTGTGTTGTATTGGAAGCCACCAGAGCTCCCCGCTGAAACTGGGATGCTGGGGATGGGCGATAGCGGAGCCGAGGCAGCCAGCTGTGTCTTTGAAACCTGCGGGGGTTTTCCACTAGGTCAAGGAAAATGGGAGAAATTTTCCTGTCTTCCATTTTCTGCTGGCAGAGGCAGGATTCAGCCCTGGCACTCTGCAGAGCAGCGAATGGGATGGAGTGTCCCATCCGGGGTGTCGTGGAGCTCACAGCCGTGCTGTATTCCCGGTGTGGTGGCGTTAGTGGTGTGGGAGCAGGAGCAGCCCTGCCCCAGGACACCCTCTGGGATCACCCCTCCTCTTGCCTTAAAACAAGAAGAACCTTTTCCGCCCCAACAAAATACCCAGCACTGATGGCCTGTGGTGGGTCAGATGCTGGCTCCTGCCCATGGGTTAGAGCAGTGAGCTTGCCGTGGCCTCTCCTCCTTGTGCTGCTTCAGTCCCCGACCTTCAATAAGTAACTCCTGTCCGTGTGCATCTGAAGAGGCGGTGGGATGGAGCGAGGCCTTGCTGTTTGGGTGTAACTGTGTTTCGAGCTGAATCTGGCCGCATTTGTGTCTTTGTTCTCTGCTTTTTCCTGGCCTTACCCAAGGAGCGAAGGCAGAATGTTGTTTCTTGGGGCGTTTCATGTTTTGGATGCAGAATCGCATCCTGGCACCTTGGTCCCTCGCCCAGGCAGGCAGTGGGTGCGTGGGGCAGAGCAATGGGCTCCTGCCCTCCCCCTGTGCCCAAAGCGAGGAGTGCTGCCAGCACGGGCAGAGGCATCTCTTTTGCAGCAGGAGGGACAAACTGAGCTGTTCCTGGTGGCACCGTGAGTCTCCTTCCTGGGCAGCTGTTGTTTGGCAAGGGTGGAAGGGTCCGGGACTGCTCCGCTGGGCTGGTGCTGGGGTAGCCAGAGGTGAAAGTCTGTTTGGGTGGAGCTGAGGAAATCATGCGACTGGGACCGGTGCTGAGAAGGTCCCAGGGTGCCGGATGCACAGGCTGTGTTGTCTTCAGAAAAGCTGTGGACTGGAGGCTGCAACCATGGCTCGGAAACGGGTAGGGTGCCGGGCTCTCCACCTGCGTCGGGCAGGACCTTACCATGTTCCTGGCTGCTGCTTTGCCTTCCACCTCGCTGCTCTGTCCCAAGAGCGACTTGCTGCCTGGGGGGATTGTCCCAGAAAGCCCCTGCTGCTTGTCCCCACTAATGGAAGGAGGGAGAGGGGGCTGCTCTGTGCCCACTCTCCATCCCTGCCTGGCTCAGCCCTTGGCACTCGCAGGGCTGGGGGGGATGCTTGCTCCATCACTGCTCTTGCCATGGCTTTTGGGGAGCTCAGCAGTGGGTTGAGCCCCAGCTCCATTCCCTGCTGGTCAGGGGGCAGCTCTCCCATCTTACATGCCATTGCTGTGCAGCGCTGTGGTGGGTCAGGGTGCTTCTGTGGTGTCTCTGCATTGCGTTGTGGTCTGTGGGACCCTGCTCCCTGCCAATGACCAACTGTGCTGCCCTCATGCCTGGAGCACCCAAATTGTGGAGTCTGGGGGACATGGCTGTGTGGGACCCAGCCTGTTTCTCCTGCTTGCTCCTCCACAGGCATTGCCCATCTGCATCTCCTGTCACCGCTGCAGGTTGGTTGGCTGCCTGCTACCAGGTCTCCTCTGGGAGAAGTGGCTTTGCATAGGCACTGCCTCGCCGGTATCGGCAGCACCATTGGATGCTGGCGTGTAAATAGATCTGAAAGGGAGCAGATGGATTTTCTGGGGCTTGAGGGAACAGCACCCTTGCGGGTGGTTATGGATGGGAGCCCTCGGCACGCTGCTGCCCAGCGGGGAGACGGAGGCTGCAGCCTGCAGTACATTACTTGGTTCAGGACAAGCAGCCTTGTCTGCAGTCTATAAATTTCATGTTGGTTGCTGTTTTTGTGTGTGGTGTTTTTTTTCTTTTCTTTCATTTGCAGATACGGGCTCTGTTGACCTTGAATGGAGCTTGCAGGGGAGTAAATAAATGCTGGCTAATTGCGCATTAGGCTCGTTTGTCACTTATAACCTTGGCGGTTGCAGTGTGTCTGGCCAGCGTGACCTAGATCAGAGCAGGAGCACTGCGAGGAAGCCCAGTGCTGCTTCGGGGATTTCCCAGCACGCCTGGGGGAGGTATGGGAGTCTGGTCTTCAGGGTCACCGCGTGGCTGGTGATGACTGCTGAGAAGGGTTTCCAGTGATACCACCCCTCCTCCTCCTCTGGATGAAGGCCTGTGCAGGGAGGAGGTGGCCCAGCCGAGCCAGCCCTTGGAGGCTGCTGGCAGGGAGTCTGGAGGTGGTTTCCCTTTACCTTGCTCCTGTGCATGTCCTGGGTCTCCCCTGTTTCCATCACAGCCCGCTCTGGTGTGATTTACCCCCGCTGGGAGCTGGGATTGGCTTCTCCCGGCTCTCCCCGCTGCACCGACACCACAAACTCCTTTCAGAGTCTCTGCCAGTCACCGATCCCCGCAAAGGAGCTGGGCAGTGGCAGGACAATGGTCCCCATTCAGCGCTGCCTGGAGCTGGATCCCGGCAGGGACGGGCCCATCTCCTGCTCCCAGCGCTGGTTGCCCTTATCTTTGCTGGCCCCTGGCACACACCAGGGATGAACGTGCAGATCAGGTTGTTTCTTTCATAAATCTGCCTGGGGTAGCTGGGATTCGCAGGTGTGGTGTGGAGCAGCCAGCAAAGGCAACCCAGCCACCAAACGCATGCATGGGTGCCTCCCTGTGCACCCTGGCTCTCCATCCTACCCTGGGTGTGGGGGAAGAAAGACCTCCCTCAGATCAAGGAAACAAGGGTGTGCAAAGAGGGTTTGCTTGGTGTGACAGATTGTGTTGTCCCTCTAAAGGACAAAACCAGGCAGAGGGTTTCTGGTGCTCCGGGGGGCAATGAAGCAGCCTTTGTGAACGCTCCTGTCTGAGCAGAGCGGGTGATCCCAGGTGGTCTAGGCAGAGCTGTCGTGTGGATTGCAGGGCATGGGGTGGAAAGAGCCATCACTGTCATCTTCTGGGTCTGCAGGCAACAGGCACTCCATCCTGGAGGTCCCCTAAAGCTGTGGTTTGCCCCTCTCCCCCATCATCGATGGCTGGAAGTGACAGCAAACTTGCACCCTGCAGCAAGACCGAAGCTGTAGGAGAGTGTGGGGGAGCTGATGGTCCTCCAGTCCAGCTCCTGCCACCCCGAGAGGTCCCTGGGCTTCTCCTCAGTTGTTCTTCTCCTTTCCAGGTTGTGCAGCGCATCAAAGCTGTGGAGTCGGAGACCCGCTTGCTTGTGGTGGACAAGGAGACGGACGAATACCTGTGCAGCCTGCGCCTGACGTGCACGGAGGAGATGGTGCACAGTGGGATCCTGCTGAACTCCAACGCTTCGCCCACCAAGTCAGTGGGCAGCGACAACGGGGAGGTCTGGAAGCCACAGCTGGATCTGAGCGGGGACAGCCTCCAGCGGCACTCGCACAGCTTCTCCTCACACGGCAGCAGGAAGGTAAGGACAGAGGCGGGTGGCATGTGGGGGCTACTTGGGGGGGGGAGCAGGTGCAACCCCCCTGGGAGCACCTCCCTCTGCAATCATGGCTTGTTTCCCATTAGAGGAAAACTGTCTGTACATGGTTGTCAGACCCTGCTGTGTCCCAAAGCAGTGGGTGAGCTGTCCCTTGGACCTCATTTGCTCTTGCTTGAAGCAGCATCAGCTATTGGGGGCTACGCTGCTCTCCCCGCTCCTGCACCTCTTGAGGGTCTTGTGATCTTCTGGAGGGCTGAGATTGCAACCTGCTCTGGGTGGACCTGCTGTGGTGGGGGGGGTTGGACTAGATGATCTCCAGAGGTCCATGCTAACCCCATATCGTTCTGTGAGACAGAGGGGGCTGGTGGGGGGTCACCAGCCCTGGGCACGGATGACCCAGCCTGGGTTTCACTCCCCCCCCCCCCTCCAGGGACAGGCTGCACAGACCAGGGACATGTCGAAGCAGGAGGGAGGGAACATCTGGGGCGAATGTGTTCTCAGCTTTTTTGCTTAAATAGGAAGGAAATTAGCTCTTTTTCAAGTGGCCTGGGTCTGGACTGGGATTCTGCAGTAAGTGCCTTTTATTGGTAAACCCCTTTCCAAAAAGGAAAGAATTTGGGGTGGAAAACGTCCAGTTTCCGTGGCTGCCTCGCTGCTGGGGCCGGGCTGGCGGAGACGGCGCGGCCTTGCTCTCGGCAGATAGCGGAGTCGCGTCCCGGCGCTGCCCTTGCTGGGGGTATGGATGGGGCAGGAGCCCTGTGGGTGTTGCGTGGCCGAGCTGGTGACCCCATCACTTCTCTGCAGCCCTCTGTCCCCTTCCCTGCAGTGTCCCCACCTTGCAGGCCTCCCGTGCGTCTGCTGGTCTGTCCTACTGGGCATGGAGTGCTGGTGCTTAATGGCCTTTTCTGGCACAGAGCTGCCATGGGTGTACTCCTCCTCCTCTTCCTCCTCCTCCTCCCTGTGGAGCTTGTAGGGGCTGCGGTGCCTGGTCGGCCTCTGCCCCCTTGGAAGTGTGTGTGGGGGAGCTGGATACTGGTCCCAAAATGGCTGTGGGGCTGCTGGGAGGATGTAGGTGGGAAAGTTGGGAAAGCTTTGTGTCCTCAGGAGCCCCCACAGAGTAACAGCTGAAGAACTTCCCCAGTGCAGATAAGAGGCGATGCTGGTATGTGGCAGGAGGCACGTGCATCTTTGGCGATAAGGAGAGGGTCTCACCTTCTGGTCCTTCTTCCCGAGCTGTTTGGCATCTGGCAGAGGTTTTGCTATCCTGGGAGGAACCCACCTTTCCTGGGGCTGGCAGAGGCAGTATTTTTTTTTTTCCACTTATTGCATGATTTGAAGGTGTTTGAAGGTTTGTGTGATGATGATGGGTGCGTTTCCCCTGGGGGTCAGTGCAGTGGGGGGCTGGTCACCCTGGAGATGGCCGGTGGGAGAGGAGCCGTTCCTGGGAAGGGGTGGCTGGGCATGGCCGGGGGGCAGCTTTCCAAGCTGGGGATTTCCTATCCCGCCTCTGTTTCGTTTGCTGGGCGCAGTCCAACAGCGTGTGCTGACGGGAAGTCAGGCGAGGGAACAGGACGGTCCTTTCCGGCCTTTGGGTTTCGGCTCCTCCAAGGAGAGGGTGGGATGGGGGGAGCTGGGCAGGGCTGGGGGGTGAGGGGGGAGAAGCACCCGCGCTTCCCCTCGGGGGGGCTTGGCCGGTGGCTTCTCCTGGGGCAGCCTGGCTGGGGCATTTGGGGAGTTGAGGCTGGTGTTTGGTTGAACCTGAGCTGGACAAAAGGAGCAGACTCTGGGGGTGATGCCCACCGCGTGGGGTTGGGGACAGTGGCTGCTGAGTGGGCAGAGCTGAGATGTCAGGCTCAGGTCAGTGGCTGGTTTGCTCCCGCCTCCATGGGTGGCAGCTCTTTGAAGAGCTGGGCACTGCAGGCTTTCCTGGCCAAGGTCACTTCTCTGTGCCATGGCCGTGAATGACCCGGGTGTAGGGTCACGGGTGGCTGGAGCAGCAGGACTCACCCTGCTCCTGTGCCTTGCAGTCCTGCTTGCTTCAAGGTGGTAATACCTGCTCCAGGTTCTTCGGTCTGGGTGATGTGGCTGTCCTCCTGGGTCCAGGATGGCTGGGGGAGCAATGGTGCACCTCAATTTCTGCAGTGCTCATCCCTCCAGCGCCGTGTGTCTCCATGGGGCAGCTCTAGCCTGACCCTAATCCTGCAGATCACTGGCACTGGGCCTGTGTGTGGGGCTGTTTAGGAGATTTCTGTCCCTGCAGTGGGGCTGTGGCAGCTAGGTCCAGTTAGAGGCTTGTCCCCAACCAGATTTGGGGCTTTTGTGTAACTTCCCTGGCCGGGTTTAGCCAAGGAGGAGAACAAGCTGCTCCCTTCCCCATGCAGACCCCTTGGCCCCAACCTACCCCTGTGGGAACTGGTGCTGACTCTCCGGGCTGCTCCTGGGGAATGGTGTTTCATTTTTGAGCAGCATTTGTTTATGTAAAGGCTGCAGTTTTCCTTGATTTGAGGCCGGGCTGCTCAGCGCAGCCTGAAGCAACAAGCAGCTGAAACAAAGAGGAGGGAAATCTGGCACCCGGGGCAGCCGTAGGGGTGGGCAACGCAGCAGGCAGGGTGGGCAAGAGGAATGACTGTCCCCCTATCTCATTTTGCAAGAGGAGTGACTCTCCCCTGGAGAGCTGCTGTGGATGGGGAGGTCAACATGCACCCCTCGGCAGAGACCTGGTGTCCAGGACCTTATGCTCCAGGAACCACGGTAATGCCATGAATAATTCAGCACGTATTTAAAATCAGGCTGCCTGCCCCGAGAGCAGGTCGGCAGGGCTGGCTGCCAGCTGTGCCCGTCACAGCGCTGCCATCCCTGGCACCCTGGGGACTCGTGTCCTGCGTGGCGGTGGTGACACTGGGAGCAGGGTCTGCCTTGTCCTGTCCCACCCGGGTCTGTTCCTGCCTGTGGTGAATGGGTTTGCCTGCTCACTGCCTGCCCCACGCTGTGTCCCCTGCCAGGGGATGCAGCAGGGCACGTGATGGGGGCATGATATGGGGTTGGAAGGGGCTTCTGGAGATCTAGTCCAACCCCCCTGCCAAAGCAAGTCCAGCTAGAGCAGGTTGCACTGGAACATGTCCGGGTGGGTTTTGAATGTCTCCATTCCTTGTCCTAAACATGCCACCAGGCTGCTTTCTGCTTTTCCCTGGTGCTCTGCTGGGCACCTGGCATCGAGTCCCCAGGGGTTTGGGAGGCAGTGGATAGGCAGGGGGTCTCAGCATGGCTGGGGCCATGCTGGGTGGGTTGGGTGCTTGGTGGTGAGCAGCTTTTATTGCCAAGGTGCCTTTGGGACAGCGGTGTGAGCCGGTGGTGGCTGTTAATTAAATGCCTGGGCTAAAAGCATATAAAAGGTGGGTGTGCTGTGGGGCTGGGCTGGTGCTGCCGGGTGCTTGACTGGATGCTGCTGGCCATCCTGGGGGCATTCATGGTGCACAGGCAGCGTGGCCCAGGGGCTGGTAGCCTCTGGATGGTAGCACCATCCCAGAGGTGTTCATGGTGCACAGCGTGGCCCGGGGTGGGCAGTGGCTGTAGCTCGGTTGCCCCCAGCTCCTGCTGTGTGGTGGGAGGGATGTGCTGTTACTGGACCCCCGTTATGGCTGTGGCTTTATGAGCCACGTTAGTGGTGTCCTTGGGACTTGCTGCCTCACTGCTTTCTCCAGGTGTGTTTGTAGGAGAAACAAGAACAACAGTAAAGTCACCGAGATGTGTTCGGGGTGAGGCAATTCCCCTCCGTCACTGCTACAGTCACACCAGAGCATGACTGCAGGCAGGGTGGGTGCACAAGGGGACCTTTACAACCAGCATTTATTTTCTGGAAAACAAACCCATGCCTTGTTTAGTAGCTCCTGGATTCAAGCAGCCTGTTGGGTCCAGAAATTTTAATGGGGGGGAATTAGTGGCAGGTTGTTAATCAGCTCAGGGAGGGACGGTGTCACCCTTTAGCATTGCTGCTGGCGAGAACTGCAAGCGGCAGAAGAATGGGTGTCCTACCACTGACATGGGGAGATTTCCACTGGCTCTTTGCTGTGACAAAATGGGCGTTGAGTCTCCTGCGTGCCACCGGCCCGTGCTTGAGAGGAGCTGATGTGCCTGGGGACAGACATGTTATTTTCTGGAGGAGGATGGATGAGTGCCTGTTGGGACCCGCAGGTGTGGGGGGGCCAGTGCTGACATCGAGGCAGTAAATATTTATACTTCTGTTTGGGTCAGGAATAAGAACTTTTTCTCTTGCAAATAAAACTCCGGGTTGCAACATCTTCAGCCGCCAGCTTTCTGCCGGAGCGTTGGAAGAGGGGGAGTAACTCGGGACAGATGTTTTCAGAGAACTTTGCCAGCTCAGTTGAGGCCCAAAATTTAGGGCTTGTAGAATAACCACAAAGATGTAATAAAACCTAACATGAGCAGAAATGTCTGCAGTAATTATGCGATTAAAAAAAAAAAAAGCCCCCAAAATAAGTGCATGGTTTAAATTAAAAGCACTTCCCTGCAGCATCCTGCGCTCCCCGGGCCCCAGTGTCAGGCTCAGACCCATGGGGAGGACAGCAAAGCTTGTCCCCAGTACAAGCTGGGTGAGGTTCCTGCTGTGCTGGTGGTGGCCTGGGGAAACCCTCCGGTGCGTAGCCCCGGGAGCCATGCCCGTGTCCCTGCAGCATTCCCTGCTCTTCCCACAGCAGCTATTTTTTTTTTTTAATTTTTTTTGGGTGCTGCCAGCTCGGTGGTGCTCGCTGCGGGTGCAGAGCTGAAAGGAAGCTGGATGCGTGTCCCATCGGGGCAGGGATCTGTCGCTGCGGGTGCTCTGCGTTTCTCTGCTCAAAATAAAATAATTAAAAAAAGCCACTTAGCAAAGCCATTTCTGCACCTGCAGCACAGAGCTGCCACTGTGTCCAGCCGAGGGCATGGGATGGGAAATTAAAAAAAGCCACTTAGCAAAACCATTTCTG